GGGATTGCCGAAGAGTCATCAACAAAATGCAGCAAATATCATTGCCACAAGCTCATCCAGAAGGAGCATGTCTTGGAAGTCAGTTACTAGATAGAAAGTTTTAACCAATCTTACTGTTAAGTTTCTGTAAAATGCCTTGTGAGGGGATTCTGTAAAAGTTCAAAAAATATCCACTGGATTTGGTTTCCAAGATTGGAAGACATTTCGCCACCTCTCCAGGAAGCTTTCTCAATTCAAATGTCTGGATCCGCTGTGAGCTTTGTATCGCTTGGAAACATGCAAATTGTAACCAATGAATGGGTCGTTTGGTTCCATTGTTAGCCTCTAATATCTGAAACCTTTCTATAATTCTGAAGGTCGGGCATTAAAGGGGGGGGGGGGGGGTTATCAGTGGTGTTCGAGAGTTAGGAGGTTCAAACTGTCTGGAGGAAGGAGAATGATCCAAGATGGAGGTGAGTTTGGCACGGTATGTGGGTTCTCGCAGATTAGCCTAAAGCAGATGTAGAGGAGCAGGGTTCAAACGTGAGCCAGATAGAAGAGGAACCATCACACCAGCAGATGAAAACTGCCATCCAGGAAGATAACTTGGAATCATGCAGCTGATCCTAGCAACCAGAGAATGAGCTGTAGAGGAATCCAGAGCTCAGAGACAACCTGAGTAGGAAAAACACAAGTTGAGGCAAACTTCTCAAATACAGAGATGCAAGGGCTTCAGAGAGCTTCAACTTTACCACAAGTGGTTAACATGAAGGCCAAGAAGTACTTTTACACGGCTCCCCTGATGAGGCTTGATGATTTTCTGCAATTTAACAGAATATTGATTAACTAAAACTGGAAATGTATTTAATTAATAGGTCATTAAAATCCAGGATAAAACCAATTTATGATTATAACTCATTAAGGTTCTTTAGTTTTTTACCCAAGGTTGGACTTCTGGTACATCTGTTAAAATCCAGTTGTCTTTCACCAATTTAGTAATTAGAGTATGGCTATCAGCAGAGTTATTAACCACCAACCAAAAATGCCTGTTTTCAAGTGTTAATCAAAAAGGGTGGATCTGGCTCTGACTGATAAATCCATCACTGCATAAATAACCACAGCAACCATGGTTAAAGTATTGGTACCTTTATTGGCTAATAATTCCCATTTAATAACTATGCAACCCTAGACAATATTAAAAATAAGCACAAGCTGAATGTAAAGCTAATAAAAATGTAAAAACAGGGGTCTAATAGTCTGTTCAAAGAGTCTCTAAGGAATGTTTAAATGTTAAGGCTTGGTGGTGTAATTGATTTAAAGTGTCCTTTAAAATAGCAGATGTGAATTACAAC